AGAGTCCCACATCTTGCAGGCAAGAGGAAGTCAACTGAGTGTCACACTGAGTGAATCTGGAGCAAAAGAGACCTCAAAGCCCACCCCCATAGTGACACATGTCCTTCAACAAGACCACACCTATTCCAACAAGGCCAGTCCTCCTAATAGTGCTACTCCCTATGAAATTATGGGGGTCAATTACATTCAAAATACCACAGGCCATTAATTTTACTGAATTGATACATAATTTGTAAGATGCAGGAAACGGCTGTTAATTCAATCAGAGTAAGAATTAAAGGCCCAGCTAGCTAGTATCGATACTGGAGTAGTTAGTTAGGAGGAACAGGAGAAGTGAGACTAGTATCAATTGTCTTATGTATGTCTTTGTTTCTCTTTTTGACTTTTTTTCTAACCATGGCAATGTTTTTTTCTAATTACTCCTTGTCAATTAACATAGAAACAACAGGTTTCTCCCAAAGCCATGCATAGTATCCCTTATCTCATGAGAAGTAAGTCTAAGTCTCTCCAATTTTGTGGGATCACTTCTTTTGTGGGACCACTTCTGCAAGGGAATCTAACTGTTGTTCTAATTCAGAAGCAGAAATTCATTATTCCTCTAGGTCCTGATTAACCTTTCTACTTAGTTTTGTAAGTTTTTTATCTTCCATGATCTATGGCTGTTGAGACAGCTATGCTAGCTCCAACTAGGAGTGAAATGAGGACAGGCACAGCTCTTTTTTTTAATAGTCCAGGATCCATATTAAAATGTACTCCCCCACTTCCATTATATAGGTATACCTGGGGCAGAATGTGTACTAAGATGCATGGAAGGGGTTTTTCAGTTTGGAAAGCATCAGAAGAGGCCCATTTAGTCAACCCATTAGTACGCACCCATCAAGTAGTCCCTGAGGCCCAGATACTGCTATTGCCAAGATGAGCTAACCCACAAGACAGAATAACAGGCATCAGAATAAGAGGAAGTGCCTAGAGTAATGGTTTTGGACATTAGACAAGTTCCAGCCCCTTATACATCTCCTAACATTAATTTGGGCTGCCCCTAGTCACAGTGAGTTTTGTCAGTCAATGGGCTGACAGTCTGGTTAGCTCCTATTCCTATGTAGTATGGGGGCTGAGGAGTTAAGCATAACCAGCAATCTTGGCCAATTTTTGGCTGAAAATGATTAACTAAGTGGTGGACTTTGTCAAGAGTAAAAAACAGGAATGGGGATCCCTTGGCCACCAGGACATCAGGAGGTAGTTAAGTACTAGTTGTGTTCAGTACTTTGGAGGGGAGAGTTGTTTGAGACCTTGGCATGGGTAGGACCCAAAGGTCTAGGGACCTTTATGAGTGGTTTATGTCTACCCCTAGGCTCCATTACTGTGGCATAAAATCTGACTCCCCAGGGTTTTCTGTTTCCAAAAGGACAGAATTGTTTGACTTTTCCAGGAAGCCTCTGTTTCACAACCCCAGTTTTTGCAATGGAAAATCCTGTGTTCTTGGCAACTAGGAGAGCCAGCTTCAGGACATGCAGAAAATTGCAAGCTCTGTATTTTTGTCTCAAAAGATCAATTCTCATGTTTTTTCCTTTTTCCTGTACAACCAGACATTTAAAGTAGGCATCAGTGAGCAAAGGTCAAGATTGAATGTGGGTTGTTGGTCTCTGGTTATATTATCATTTCCCTTGTATCTATCTTCCTCAGTTCTCAGGTCCAGGCCTGAGAGTGGTGGGGATTGAACCATGAGCCTATATTCATATCCATAGGGCAAAGCATAAAACTCAGGAGGAGGCATAAGGACAGGAAGTGAAGGACCTAGGGCCCAGTGATACATTAATGAATAAATTTTAATGGGTCCATAAACCAGATACAGTTCATTAGGCAGTAGTGGCTGTAGCTTCTGCTTTATTGACTTGGATGTGATGGATCCATGGTGTGATGCCAGTTACTTGCATGACTGTAGGAGTGAAGAACATTACTATGTAGGGACTCTTCCAAGTTGGTTCCAGCACCACTTTGGCTACCTGCTTGACACAAGCAGTGTCACCAAATTCAAACAAGAGCAAATTGGTTGTAGATTCAAAGGTCAGCTGGTTCTCTCAACTAGTCCAATGAATAGCCTTTGTGGGGAACTGGAGAGTCCATCAACTTCTGGTTTCTGAGCTTGAGAAGCAATGGGGGAGATCTTCCAAACATAATCTCATAGTGTATGAATCCCTCCCTATACAGGGTGCAGCAGATAGAAAGAATGTATTGAGACAAACTCTATTGAAATTCATTAGAGTCAGTATATACGATGGTGGACTTACCTTTTCCTCCAGCTGAGAGCCTGGGTCAGGGTGATCATTCCTAGTCTAGTACCTGGCCTAGTCTCAAGTCCTTTCAGGATTTGGGGTAACTACTGCAGCTCCCACATACCTGGTTTTGTCTTTCATCTTCTGACAGTCATGGATTAGCACCTTCGGGTTGTCATCAGGCCAGAAGGCAGCAGAATTGACAGTGGTGGGTTTCTCAAACTGGACTCAAGAATAGTCCAAAAGTAGAGCCTGATACTGGATCACATACTGTCAGAATTCTGGTGTTCCTCAGAGGAGGGCCTCTGGGGAGGTGCCGTAAGTATAAGATCATGAGATGTAAATATAACAGCATCAAGTGCTGTAAGTGTAAGATCCTGACCCACAGTTAACTTGTTTGCTTGTTTTTGTTTTTGTTTTGTTTTGTTTTTCATTAAACTAGCAGTAGCCATCGAAGCTCTTAGACAGGTGGGCCATCCCGTGGCTACAGGGTCCAATCATTTGAACAGGTATCCCACTGTGTGTGTCCATGGTCCCAAAGTTTGCATTAAAAAGCTTTTTGTCTTTTGCTTTGTTGGATGAAAAGTTTTGAGACATCTGGAAGTGCTAGGCCTGAAGCCAAATAGAGCTGCTTTTAAAGCCTCAAATGCCTTTCAAGTTTAGTCTCAGACTAGATTAGGTGCTCAGTGCCCCCCCCACACACACACACACATACATCTTTGCTGGTGTATGAAGGCCTTGCTGTTTCTGTGAACTCTGGTATCCAGGTACAGCAATACCTTGCCACACCTAGGAACTTTGTGACCTCTCTCTCTCTCTCTCTCTTTCTCTCTCTATTTTTTTTTGAGACAGGGTTTCTCTGTGACTTTGGAGAATGTCCTGGAACTAGCTCTTGTAGACCAGGCTGGTCTCAACCTCACAGAGATCCTCCTGCCTCTGCTGGGATTAAAGGTGTGTGCACCACTGTCCAGCTTAACCTGTCTCTTAGTCTTCAGAGTTGGGACCTGAAGGATGGCAGCAATCCTACACTGAGACAGGCTCCTTTTGCCTCCCCTCAGCTGGTAGCCTCTGATGTACAAAGTTGGGCTGTCTTAGCCAATATCCTCAAGGTAATTCTTGCAGTAGTCCCTCACTGGCCTTCTTTAGTTTTAGTTTTGGAGCTTAAGAGAATGTCATCTACACATTGTTAAAGTACAGTCCCAGGAAACCTCTGACAGAAGGGCAGGAAGTCAGCATTTAGTGTCTCATCACACAAGGTTGGAGAATTTTGGGGGTTTGTTTTTTTTTTTTTTTGAGTTTCATAGAAACAAATTATTTGTTTTCATTTGGGATTAGAGCAGAATTTCCAGAAATTTCTGAAGTGACACTAAACATGCTCCTGCCATTTTATATTACCATATTTATGTAAGTAGCATTTTTAGCATTTCTTTTTTATGTGTTAATTTTTTTATTTGAATTAGAAACAAGATTGTTTTACATGACAATCCTAGTTCCCTTGTCTCTCTGTCCTCCCCTACTACCCACCCCAACCAAAATCCTACCTATCACATACCCTTTCTGCTTCCCCTGGATGGTGAGGCCTTCCATAGGTTGTTATCAGAGTCTGTCCTATCCTTTGGGATAGGGCCTAGACCCACAAGGTTGGAGAATTTTTAAATCCCTGAGGCAACTTGATCCAGGTCTGTCCACTTCAAAGCAAAGATGGGTTGACTCACCTCGGCCAATGGAAAACTGAAGACGCATCTTTCGGGTCCAAAACAGTATACAGCTGTTTCTCTGGAAGAATCAGACTCATGAGAATCAAAGGTCCCAGGTTTCTTCACAGGCAGGAGAGATATATTTCATGGTGACTGGCAGGGCACCTGGATGCCCTTCTGTCCAAGCCAGGCAATATGGACTGCAATTTTCCTTTTGTTTCCAGGGTCATTGGGTATTGTTTAATCTGGGTGGGGGTAGCTGAACTAGTGAGTTGAATAATCATAGAAACTTGGTATTGGACCAGTCCTGCACACTTGTGGGACACTGACATACATGCAGGCAAAGCACCATACATACAGATTTAAGAAAAAAATAAAGTAAAATAAAAAAAGTCTTGAGATGCTGCTTATACTTGTAACTGCTTCAAAATTATTTTAAATATAATAGCTGCTTGCTTGTTATCTGGTATGCTGATGAAAAATTGATATATGACTAAATAAGCTAGGCTGTTTAAAATGTTAATTACTGCACTTCAGTATAATTGAGTTTGGCTATAATTCTCTATATTTTACTTTGTATGTTTGAAAATGTCATTTAGAAAAGAGGTACCTAGGCTCCATTAGACAACCAAAGAGGGCCCTGTTTCAGGGTAGAAGTGGAAGTTGGTCTGAAAAGCTGGATTATGCTTTTTCTCTTAATTACTCAAGCATTATGCTTGTCAGTGACACAATGGATGCAAGGCATACAATGCGGAGACAGACATAATTCCATTGCTTTATTTGACAGGTTCTGGTTTTCAGGAAGTAATTTAATATGGAATGTACAAAATAATGAGTGACACGGATTCGTTTCCTCTTCATACCATCCAGACACAGAGTTCCGTCCTCCTAGAAGTTCCCCCAAGCATCATATTTCCATAATTGGCAAGTCACAAGTGGATCATTGGACAGTGGTTTAGAATGAACTGCAACTGGCCATCGTATCTTGCTTAAAAGAGTTAGCTCGCTCTAACATGACTTTCTTCTCTAGACTCTGTTACTGAAGTCACAGTCTGTACCCCAAGAAGCCAAGATCAGCCACACATCCTTGAGAAGTCAATTAAAGCAGCCAAATGAATAGAAAAAAGCATCAAAGGGAGATGGACTCGATGCAGAGATGCTGAAAAGAGGGACAGAGACATCCAGTGACTGCACCGAAGTCTATCTTCAAGGCCCAGAAGGACACTAAAGTTTAAATGGAGTATTATGGATATGCTCATCTAAGCAATCCCAGTCAAGGTGTGTGTCTGCCAACCACTGACCCATCCTTGTCCCAGTAAGGCTGTAAGTGTCTTTCTTAGAGAGAAAAGTCCTCTGCTCCTGCTTTCCCAGGCTTTTCTTCTCCTGGCATGACATTCTTGGGAAAATTTCAATTTGGGGGGGTCTGTTATTTTAATAGTCTGATAGCTAAAGTGTCTCTTTTGGGGGGGTGTTCAAGACAGGGTTTCTCTGTAGTTTTTGGAGCCTGTCCTGGAACTCACTCTGTAGATCAGGCTGGCCTCAAACTCACAGAGATCCACCTGCCTCTTCCTCCTGAGTGCTGGGATTAAAGGCATGTGCCACCACAGCCCGGCTTGCTAAATGTCTCTTTAGAATATATTCGTTTCTTCCAGGTCAATTATATTTGGATTTCTGTGTATTACCTGGTTTTTCTCTGTATCAATGAGATGCAAATAGAATCTTTTTAGAACCTATGAAGTTAGTGCACCCATGCAAAAGCTTTTCAGACAGCCCAAAAAAGTTGTAATAAAAAAAAAAAAAAACAGACAGGGGGGTCTGTGTGCATTGCATCTGGTGAGCATTGTTCCTGTTTTCCAAGAACACTTTGAAATGGGCGTGGTTGGGAGGAGTGGGCAGCTGCTACTTCCCCCTGCTTCAGTCCTTCTCCTCAGCACCTCCTCCTGCCACCTCTCTTACCATTTCCTTGAGCAGTGCATGACCTTGCTGAATTTGTCTTCTATGCAGAGTAATTTAGACTCCTTCCCTGCAAAAGAATTCCCACTTCAAGACTCATACTTGGTGCTCCGCAAAACAAGAGTCACTACAGGACCAGCTTTGTTTAAAGGTATCTTACAGATCACTTTTGTAACATAAGCACATTCTCAGGGTCCCATCAGTTAGCTTCTGTCCACACCCCAAAGAACCTGCTGGCTAATTAACATAGACAGCGGTGAGTGAAAGAGTAGAGTTTCTATAGGAAATGAACAAAGGGAGAGAGCATACAGGGAGGCAACTGACTTCCATTTCAGGGCTTAGGAGGAGGAGACCCTTCAAAAACAAAGTCTGAGTAAACAATGGTCTACAGGGTAGACAAAGGGATTGACTCCCTCCTCATCTTGGTGCCTTCTCTTGTGTTCTTTCCTAGGATACTGATCATGTTCTCAAATATACTGTGTCAGAAAATGCTGCTAATGTTCATGTCACTTTTAATAATTACCTGGATAATTTTTGAAATTTCTCAAAGTTCCACAAAGGTAGGAATGCATTTTTCCACTTTGACAGGAAGCTGCTACCTGTGTGAGCTGTCTCCTCACTGACTATCACTACTTTCTCACTTCTCTTCCATCCTCAGTGCCTTACAGTCAGTCTTGTACCTCTCACAGGCACCCTAACTGGCTCCTGCTAAGGCCACCAACTGCCATAACACTAAAAAAGTACTTGTCACTGAATCTGGGTGTATATCCTTGGCTACCTAAATCCAGCCTGCTGCTACCTTTTTCCATGTGATGGTTATTTTTAGTAACCAGTATGCCTTATAGTTTTTGGATATTAAGTGATGTTAGAAAAGGTTTGTATAGGAATTCATACATGTTTTGTCATGTTTTTCCTTGTGGTATTCCTGTATTTAAATATCAGGTATGTGTAATCCCATCACCCAGGAGACAGAAACAGGAGGATTGTGAGTTTGAGGCCAGCATGTTTGTATAACAAAACAAACAAACAAAAAATTGACAACTGCAATTCCAGTCAGATAAGTTAGGACACAATGAGGATTTTTGTCTTTAAGCCATGTTCATGGGTAGGAAAAGCCTTCACCTTCCCTGTATTGTCCTAATCAAGTTTTAGACTAAAATGTATCATAAAACCAATTGGACAGTTTTTCTCATTATGCACATTAGCAATAATTGAACTAACCAGCAGAAACATTCAGCCATCTGTCCAGTGGGAAAGTAGTTACTGGCTGCAAGATGTATAGGAGAGGGAAGAGCAAACTCGCTTTCATCAACTTCTTACTCTCCAAGCTCTTACTTTAGAGTTAATATGTTTCTGAAAAATTCTAACTCATTGTGAATAAAAATGGCTGGGAGCAGGTTTGTTTTTACAGTGCATTACACATCTTGTCATTTCAGCTTTGGACGACTCTGCACACATCTATCTCCTTCTACTCCTGGAACACCTCCATGAAGTCCTCTTGTCCTGAAAGGCCAATGAACCAGTCAAGGTTACCAACAGAGACTAAGTTAAGAGAGGAGATCCCCACAGTGACAAGACGGGTCAAGCCACCAACAGAGAAGGAGCTGAGAATTAGGGAGATCCTGGAGAAGCTAAACCAGCAGATCCCACCCAGACCCTTCACCTACCTCAATACCACCACCAGTGCCACACACAGCACAGCCACCATCCTCAACCCTCGAGACAAATACTGTAAAGGGGACCAGCTAGACATCTTAATAGAAGCTAGGGACTACCTAAGAAACAAGAAGAAGTATGGTGGGGACTTCCTGAGGGCCAGGATGTCCTCCCCAGCCCTGAAGGCTGGTGCTTCTGGAAAGGTGACAGACTTCAACAATGGCACCTACCTTGTCAGTTTCACTCTGTTCTGGGAAGGCCAGGTGGCCCTGTCTATCCTACTCATTCATCCCAGCGAAGGGGTGGCAGCCCTCTGGAGAGCAAGGAACCAAGGCTATGACAGAATTGCCTTCAAGGGTAAATTTGTTAATGGCACCACCCAGGTCTTAACTGAGTGTGGCCTGACCCTAAATTCAAGCAATGAATTCTGCAAATACCTGTACAGTGGTGGTGAAGAAGTCTTCTACTGTATGAAGCCTCAACACATGCCCTGTGAGGCCCTGACCCATGTGTGTACCAAGCAGCAAGCTGTTTCTTTCCTTACTGACAAAGAAAAAGATCTTTTCCAGAAGTGAGTATATTCTCAGTACAATGAGAGGTTCCCCCAGGCAGAGCTACACTGCCCATCTCAATACTGAGCAAGCCCTCTGATGTTTTCAGCACTCCAGATTCCGGTAAGACCTATGTTGTCTTTACTGGGCCCCTGTTCATGTCACAATTTACATTTCTATTGACATACCCAACAAAAGGGGCTGCCTGATAAAAGGGAACCGAGTAAAGTATATACCTCTGCTTCTTCCTGACAACCAGTGCTGACCTGTTCACAGTCAGAATATTTTACTACTGATCTAGGTTTTACAAAATACCTTCCATGTGAAACTATTCTGCTATGGCTCATAGATGTCTCACCTTCTCTCCCAAAATGATGCTTCAATATTACATGATACTCTACCTCCTCCTTCACACCTTGTACAGTTTGCCTCTTCAAATCTTTTGTTCATCCATTTATCTCCATGTCTTGTGTTACAAGGCCAGTTCAGACTGCCCTTTAGAGGATGACTCATCTCACCTTGACTACTGTGACAGCTAGCTGGTGGGACTCTGTCTTGCCTGTCATATTCTACTCTGATGCTTTCTCAGCCTCTCTCTCCCTCGCTCCCTCTTTCTCTCGCTCTCTCTCTCTCTCTCTCTCTCTCTCTCTCTCTCTCTCTCTCTCCCTCCTTTGCATACCAGAGCAGGTTTTATTCATTTATTCAGCAAACATAGTCAAAGCCTTAGAATAGGCCAGGTGTGCAGTGCTACAGCCACAAAGCTCTGCTCTACTCTCTACCTCAGCCTGAGCAATCCTGGTAAGAAGTCAGCTCCCACCAGTCATCAGTTCATCTCCTGAAAAGACGTGGCCATGTGCACATCTTTGGGTAGAAGAGTCCTCCATCCTCCCCAAGTTGTGGCCTAGCAATTTCTGCAAGCTCTCAGCAGAACAGGCTCCTCAAACCTATTTGTCAGCATGCCTCCTCCTGTCAATCATGGCTGTGGCCAGGCACAGCTTTCTCCCTCTCCTAACACTCCACTTCCTGATCTCCTTGCTCTCCATGGAGGTGGAAAATGCCTCGCTGCTGAAAATAAACCATTATAGTTTCCTCAGGGGCTACATTGAAGATTTGCAAAGCTGACTGTCACCACATGCCTCAGAGCTGTGAGCCAAGGCCTGAGACACCCTTGCATCTGGAATCCTTTTCTGTTTACATTCAGGCAAAATCTACAGCTCCCCACACAGCCCCCTCCTCTCCCCCGACCCCCCCCTCTCTCCCACTCTTCTCCCTCTCCCTCTCCCTCCCTCTGTCTCTCTGTCTCTCTGTGTCTCTCTCTGTGTCTCTCTCTGTCTCTGTCTCTCT